TTGGCTTTTCGAGCTGCAACAGAGAGAAAATTTTGAAGCTAAATACTTAAAAATAAACAAGTAATATACAGATGTCATATCTCCTTTGTGAAAATTAAAATGAATTATGTGTTAAGCACCTAAAAAATGATTATGTGTTGAGAACTTAAAAATAAATGTGTGTTTATTATTATTACTTTTGTATTTTCAGACAGATTTCATAGTAATGGAAATAAATTCCTTTGTTGTCCACAGATAACTCAAAGGATATTTCACTTAACATATGGCTTCACTTACTTTGAATTTCTCATTTTCCTAATATTTCCCTATTGACTACAGTAAATCTTATTATTTTAGTTCTTTTTTCAGTATAATATCAATACTTTCCAAATAATTATATATGTTCAAGTCATGTTATGTAAAATGGAAAATCTAGGTACCAAATAGCAAAATAGCAGGACAGAGTGTGATTTATGTCTGCTGCTCAAATCTTAAATATTTGAGAGAGTAAATAACATTGTAATTTTCAAAAGCAGAATTATGGAATGGTCTGTTTGGTGGCCAGTGTGTATACCTTCTGACTTCTCTGCACAGTCAGATAGCTGGCACAAATACTGAATATTTGAATACAAGTTATAAACCCTGCTGCATATGAAAAGTTATTATGTTAGTTGAGGGCATATTAAAATACAGTTTCTTCCTGTTCATAATTCTAAATAGTTTTTAGGCTATAAGTTTTACTCAAAAGCCATGCAAGAGTACCACTAAATCTTATTCAGCCTTAATCTTACTGTAAATTCTTAAAAGTTCTGATTTATTTGCAGTGTTCAATAACTCATTCTAAGTTAAATGCCAAACTTGGTAAAAAAGTATATAAGATTATCTACATATAATAATATATACTATCTAAGTATTCATAGAGAAGAGTAGAAAGGAGTGAAACACACCTTAAATGCGTCTGAGATGTGCTCCCAATATGTGCAGCCTTAGTTCGGGATTTTATTTTTGCCCTCCACAGAAAAGAGTACTAGTATAAATACACATCATGTATTGATTTACTCAAACCTAAAGATTTGGCATTGTTCTCCTGTCAAGTTTGCCATTATCATTAAAATTTAGCATCACTTGACATTTTTGAAACACAATAAACTGGTTTATATTGATGAGCTATGAGACACTCCCTTATGCAAAGGTGACAAAAGTGATACAGAAAGCGTATCATAGTGTGGAACTATATTTATTTTGTAATTTGAAGTATTTAAGGAATATTTTGCATTCCAGACATCACACATGTTTATTTTGTACAAAGTTAAAGAGGAGCAGTTTTCATTCCAATCCTAAAGAAAGTCAAGGCCAAAGAATACTCAAACTATCACACAATTGCACTCATCTCACATGCTAGTAAAGTAATGCTCAAAATTCTCCAAGTGAGGCTTCAGCAATATGTGAACTGTGAACTTCCAGATGTTCAAGCTGGTTTTAGAAAAGGCAGAGGAACCAGAGATCAAATTGCCAACATCTTCTGGATCATTGAAAAAGCAAGAGAGTTCCAGAAAAACATCTATTTCTGCTTTATTGACTATGCCAAAGCCTTTGACTGTGTGGATCACAATAAACTATGGAAAGTTATTCAAGAGATGGGAATACCAGACCACCTTACCTGCCTCTTGAAAAACCTATATGCAGGTCAGGAAGCAACAGTTAGAACTGAACGTGGAACAACAGACTGGTTCCAAATAGGAAAAGGAGTACGTCAAGGCTGTATATTGTCACCCTGATTATTTAACTTATATGCAGAGTACATCATGAGAAAAGCTGGGCTGGATGAAGCACAAGCTGGAATCAAGATTGCCAGGAGAAATATCAATAACCTCAGATATGCAGATGACACCACCCTTATGGCAGAGAGTGAAGAGGAACTAAAGAGCCTCTTGATGAAAGTGAAGGAGGAGAGTGAGAAGTTGGCTTAAAGCTCAACATTCAAAAAACTAAGGTCATGGCATCTGGTCCCATCACTTCATGGGAAATAGATGGGGAGACGGTGGAAACAGTGTCAGGCTTTATTTTTTTTTGGCTCCAAAATCACTGCAGATGGTGATTGCAGCCATGAAATTAAAAGACGCTTACTCCTTGGAAGGAAAGTTATGACCAACCTAGACAGCATATTAAAAAGCAGAGACATTACTTGGACAACAAAGGTATGTCTAGGCTATGGTTTTTCCAGTGGTCATGTATGGATGTGAGAGTTGGACTATAAAGAAAGCTGAATGCAGAAAAATTGATGCTTTTGAACTGTGGTGTTGGAGAAGACTCTTGAGAGTCCCTTGGAGAGCAAGGAGATCCAACCAGTCCATCCTAAAGGAGATCAGTCCTGGGTGTTCATTTTAAGGACTGATGCTGAAGCTGAAACTCCAGTACTGTGGCCACCTCATGTGAAGAGTTGACTCATTGGAAAAGACCCTGATGCTGGGAGGGATTGGGGGCAGGAGGAGGAGGGGACGACAGAGGATGAGATGGCTGGATGGCTCAGCGACTCGATGGACGTGAGTTTGAGTAAACTCCGGGCGTTGTTAACGGATAGGGAGGCGTGGTGTACTGCGATTCATGGGATCGCAAAGAGTCGGACAAGACTGAGCGACTGAACTGAACTGAACTGAACTGAACTGAAAGAGGAGTATACGTTTTTTTGGCTTTTCCTTTTTTTTTTTTTTCCCCTTACCTTTGCTGTTGAGTTACCTTTATGTTGGAGTCATGATCTTACAGCTAAGTGTTACTGAGTAGGTTGAAGAATGATTTGGGGGAAAAGTGAATTCAGAAAAAGACAACTTCAAATAAATTGCATTTATTTCACCTTCTACAAGTTAAGTTTGCTTCAGGTGTTTTACATTTCTGAATTGCTTAAGCAACACCACATACCAATTAATGTAGCTAGGTATTGTTTTCCCCTTTTTATATATAAGGTCAAAGCGATTCAGCAACTATCCCAAATAAGCAGTGGAAGTAGGTTTCAAACTGATTCAATTTCACTTCTCTTTCCCTTCTAAACCATGAGCATTTTGAAAGCCACTGTCTTGTATATTTACCACCCACAATATCCATTTATTTATTGGTTTTGCTATTGATAATGTCTTAATTTTATAATGAAAAGGAAAAGATTGTGTGATAGTAGTTTGTGGAGTTCAGTTTTCAAGTCTTCAAAGCCAGTTTTCAAAAAATATCTTAATTAAAACAGACTGAAATAGCTTCATTCCAATATATAGTAATGTGTTTTTCAAATTAAAAAAAAAACCATCCCTTGAAGGAGTTGCTTTAGATATTTTTAGATTTTTATAACATTGTAATTTTCATGCCATAAATATTCTATATATTTGTTTATATGCTGTGACTCTATGCTATTATGTTATGTAAGAACTTTTCTTCTCTGAGGAAAAAAAATTTCACTCCCTTATGAGTGATACTGATCTCACTGACAATTCATGGTATAGATCAGTGGGTGATCTAATCTCACTGACAATTCATGGTATAGATCGACTGAAGTTCAGAGATAGGCAGCTATAGTCTAAAATGACGTGGTTCACAAAGTGTCACTTCTGGAGCAGTAGCAAAGCATCACCTAGCAATTTGTTAGAAATGCAAATTCTCAGGCCTCATTCAGTCCTATAGAACTGGGGGTAAGCCTGAGCGGTGTTGTATCAGGTCTTCTAAGGTGATTCTGATGTACTACAAAGATGGGAACCACCACTCATGGATAGAGTGCTGAGAGATGGGTCCATGGCTTCATCGTAACATTGAGCAAGTTACATTTTATCTCAGTTTTTTCATTTTGTTGTAGCCCAAATAATTCCTGGTTAGAAGCCTTACACATTCAACTTTCTCAACCTCATTTGTCAACTGAGAATCTACCTTTCTTCCATTGGGTAGGGAAAGAGTGAGACTAGACACACTCACAACCTCTCCTGTGGGTTGTTTTTACATTTCCTGCAAAAGACTAGTCAACATTACTGGTTAGGATCACATTAACAAAGGCCTGGCCCCCAATACAGTAAGTGGAGCCAGAAAAAATATATACAGGAAAAGAAGTGAATAAATACATCTTAACATTCTATCTTAATAGACATCCCATTAGGGGCACGAAAACAAAAACTAGGGTGTCCAATTTTATGGCAGAATAAATTATGTGAGATACGTGGAATAACTGGGAATTTGTCAAGAGGAACATGTTTGTTTCTCTTTCTTGAAATTTTCATTTTTTTTTTCAAAAGTAAAAATAAATATTACTTGTTTCTTGGTTCTATGGAATTTCTCTAATCTTTTCTCTTTCCTATCATTCTAATCAGTTACTTCCAGAGACTTGCTCACCCACTTTATGGACTTTTTGCTAGTTTAGATATATGCAGCCTGGTAATAATCAGAATTTATTTTCATAAAAGGGATGAATAAAAAGAGAGCTTAACCTACAGAAATAAAAACATAAGGAGACCACGCTATTCTAGTGAGAAACCTCACACACTGCCAGCCATAGGGCATGCACTACCTAAAACCTCCGAAATAGCTTGTGATGTCATGATCTGGACTTCCCGGATGGCGCTAGTGGTAAAGAACCCACCTGCCAGTTCAGGAGACAAGAGACAGAGGTTCAATCTCCTGGTCTGGAAGATCTCCTGGTGGAGGGCATGGCAACCCACTCTAGTATTCTTGCCTAGAGAATCCCATGGACAGAGGAACCTGGAGAGCAAAAGTCCATAGCGTAGCACAGAGTCGAACATGACTGAAGCAACTTAGCATGCATGCACGCTCTCCATGATCTATAAAATTCCACATGACAACTTCAATCCAAGACTTCCTGTGTCAGTGATTTACAAAATGTGAACAGCTGATAACTGAATCTCAGCTTTGGTGGAAGAAAAAACTTCATGTTGATTTAAACATTATAAGCTTTAGCATGAATAATTGAATTAAAAATCAAATATTAAATCAAGAAGAAACATTTTCAGGTTTTTCTCTGTTCTGTTTCATTTTAGATGGAGCTTGCTAGAGAAGAAAAATGTGAATTTTTGCCTTTCTTGTCTCCACGGAAGGTTATAGTAAAAGGTGGGAGAATTGTTGCTGTGCAATTTATTCGGACAGAGCAAGATGAAACTGGAAAATGGAATGAAGATGAAGATCAGATAGTCTGTCTGAAAGCCGATGTGGTCATCAGTGCCTTTGGCTCAGTTCTGAGTGATCCTAAAGGTAGAGTGCTTGGGAGCTGAAATGTGTTATGCAATTGTCTGTTATTTTACTGGCGTAATGGTTTCCAGCTTTCAGGGAATTGTTTTTCACTTGAAGATTCATTTCCTTCTTCTAGTATGGAATGCCAGAAATCTTGATTTGCAAGACTTAGAAATGGTATTTAATACTTATACAGAATTATTTTTAAAGTACTGGGAATTGAAGACAACATTAATCTTTCTTTTAAGCTTACAATCAAAATACATACCCTACTTTGTAACAATGTTTGCCTTGTTTCCTCTATAAAAATCAGCTTTTTCTTCAGTTAGACCTAGAGTAAGAAAATGTGACAGAGAACTTGTAATAGCCAATCTTCAGTGATTCAAGCAAATTAAGATCTAATGAATAGTCAAAAAGAGAATTCATGTTTACTATTATTTGCATACCAAATTATCGCTAGAAATATCAAAATTGTCAAATTAGGAAGTTTGAACTTCTGTCATTTCATCTAAATGGCATAAATGGACATGCTAAGAACAAAATGCTTTGAACAAGATATGAGAAAAAGAAATACATAACATTCCAACTGAATAATAAGTTAATCAACTAAAACTATTTTGTGTTGTTTGCCTCGCACAGTGTTTTTGTGGGCCACTTTACATAAAGGCTTAGGTTCCTCCGTACCCTTCATTTTGCAAATCTTTTACCTTTTACTGCACACCATCAAAATGACATCTATTTCGTTAACTAAAAGGAAAATAAAGAAAGATGTTTCTCTAATTTCAAGATTCATTAGGAAAAACAGTAAGTAAAATTTCTGAACCTGATGATTCCTATAGCTTCCTACTATATCCGTGCTAAAATTACATTTTGTGTCTGAAACAGAAAAAGATAATGCTTGCAAATGTGCATTTTTATCCAATAGATAAGTAAAACGTTTAACCACTCATCAGGATATTTTATCTGCAGGACATCAAACGTCTTGGTATTTGGAAACATCCAGATGTTTAATGTCATCAAGATAAATGTTTTCAAATAGTTGGATGATGGCCTGAATTTGTCACTTTTCATCTAGACATTTATGTGATATGCAGACATAGTCACAGTGCGCTTTGTTATTCATTGATGAGTTCAGGAAGGAAAAAGAGAGCAACATATAAACTGTATTCTGTTATCTAAAAAAAGATCATAATATTCTTACTGCTCTGTATATGACTGAAAACTTGAGTAAAAATTTGAATCACTTAACTTGCAATTCTGTTGATTTTTTGTCTATCAAAAAACAATTTATCTTGCCATTTAAATTTATGTTCCACAACTGACAATTCTAATATTAAGAAAAATATATCTTTTCCCTAGCAAACTTAAGTAGATGTGACTCAGAAAATCGTAGAATACAGCTTTCCAAAGCTTATGTTGGTATGTGTGTGAAGAGTGAAAGATTTAATTTAATATTTAAAATATTGAGTAGAAGAAAAGAAAATCGGATTTACTTGTGTTTATTGGACTAAATCGTTTAAAAATTTATTTGTGAATTTTGTTCCAAAATTTACTTGTGTATGTTTCGTCCAGTGCTCTATATGTTTCACCCCATATACATTAGAGAAATCAAGGAAAAATGATTAAATCTTCCCTTTTTTCTTTTTTTCCCCCTCCTCCTGACTTGAAAAACAAACTGCTTGAGAAAATTTTCCTCAAATAGAACTACTTGCTTTACGGGGACCTTCAACGTTGACATTAATGAGAGCTACTTTCTAGTTAAAGGGGAGCTGGAAGAGCTGCAATGTTAAATAGCATTCATATCTCTACTGCTTTCTAAATATATTCAATACTGTTTTTTGAATGGTGTACATTTAAAAAATGGTAGGGAGAAATATCATTTGTGAAAAGTTGATCAAGAAGATCTTACCCAAGTGGTATTTAAAATCTTGAAACAACAATTTCAAAGAAAACTTTCATGTGCACGTGTTATCAGATATAGTGAAAATCAGACTGTAGGAAGCAAGTTCATGTCTCTTCTGCCCTGAATCTTATCCCATCTCAATACTCCTATGATATGATTTATCTGTGATACTTTTGTGATTATTGCATATGTGGTATTATATATTTCAATATATTTACTTATAACCTCTTTCTTAAATCATCAATCTGCTTTTCTACCCTTCTTCTTCACTCCTTCGTAGGCTCACTTTGTACAGACTTCAGTGAACTGCACACAAAACTCGGTGTAATCTTTTCATTCCTTATTCTATTTTCTGCATTTGACAGTGTTAAATATTTCCTTCTGTTTGAAAAACTCTCTTCTGCGTCACTTAACCTTTCTGAGCCTCAGCTTCTTCCTCTGTAACAAAACATGGATAATAATACATACTCTTTCTACCTCTCAGGACAGTTGTCAGAATTAAAATGAAGTAATGTGAAAGTGCTTTGGAATTGAAACTGTAACACTTTATTATTGTTTATGACACTCTATTTTCTTGCTTTTTCTTTTAACTGTTCCTTTTCCACTGTCACTGACTGTTCCTTCCTCTAAAATGTTCAGACTTTGCCCATTTTCTCTTTTCTTAATATATTTATTTCTTCACTGAACTCATTTATTCATTTATCCATCCATACATTAATTCCTGTTAAGAATATTTAACAGACAACTTCTATGTGGCAAGTGGTAGCCAGACTTAAAATAAGCACTATTGCACTTCTGTATAAAATGACTCTGAAATCTCTTTCTCTACTCTTCATTTCTCAGCAGATATTTCATCCTCTGTTTATGCTCATGCATGTAACAAGCATTTAGTGAGTTTCTAGTGAATGCCAGGTACCAAAATGTATTCTGGAGAGTACAAAGATGAATGAAGTATTTCTTGAACTTAAAAACTTCACAGACTGGGGCTGGAGGCAGACCTTCAAAGAAAAAGTTTGTTTTATCAAGTTAAGAATACATTTAGAGAGATACACACAAAATAAGGACCTCCTCATCAGTTGCCCTAAGACTGATTTCCTCTCAAGTTTGCTATTATTGGAAATGGTACAATAGTTCTCTTCTCACTAAAGTTCAAAAATGATATCCCAGGTTCAGATATCTAATTCCAATTTTGCTTTATCATTAAAGTCACTGGTGTTACCCTGTACAAGAGGATGAAACTCCTACTGACTGGCTGAGAACTTCAGCAAATGATTTTATGTACTATGTGCCTGGCTTTACTTTCCAGTATTCCCTATTGAACTGTTCCTCCTAGTATCTGGTACAGGGTGGATTCCATAGTGGTTAATTTGGAAAGTCCTTGGTGAATGTATTATGTAAGTATATGCCGAAGAATTAAAGGAATGAAATAAACGACAGTACAGTGATAATTTATACTCTCCACATTATCTGATTACAGTAATATTTTAAGTGAAAATAGTGAAATGAAATTGTAGTGTCTCAATTATATCAATAATAGTTGTTTGTAAAGGTAAACTAAATTGGGAAATTCGAAGAAAATTATTTATCTAATTTTTTCTTATATACTACATTATTTTGTAAGTCCCTTAATTTATGTGTTACACAATGGAGAATATAAAATAGCTTTAGTATTAAGCACCAAGTGTATCTCTAATACTTATTTCATGTCATAAAAATAGTACCTGCCTCAATAGCTTATAGAAAAGAAAAATGTGTCAAATTTATAAAACAAATTTGTATAATATCCTTAGATTACAGTTGCTAATTATTTCATTCTTCCCAAGGCTTATCACAATTATAAGTAATCATCATTATTTTACTTAATTCTGTTTTATTTCTCTCTCTCTTTTTTTTTTTGGATTGTAGCAGTGAGTAGAAACTAAGAACAAAAGACTGCATATTCCACATCCTTATGCATGGAATTTATGTGTGCTTGTTATAAGCACAATTTAATTGAATCCTTCATTAACTACTGTTACAAATTCTAAAGGTAGTATGTTGTCCAATTTCTAATTTGATTGGGATGATAAATTCTTAGCCTTATTTAATATCTTTTCTATGAAAAACTCAAGGTGGTTCCACCTTTTCAAAATTCTCATCCATTTCTTCTAAGAATGTGAGATCCCAAATCACGTTTAATTTGGATTTTAGTACTCAAGTCTGATTTTAAAGGCTCTCAGTAAATTAAGCACAGGCTGCCTCTAACTGGCATTTCTACTCCACAAATATTGCCCTTCACTGGAAATTTTAAAACATGTATTTATTTAGTGTAAGAGCATATGTTTCATAATATAAGAAGTCTTTTCTGTTAAGCACCAACATCAGTGTTTATGGAGTTGAATTTTCCCTCTTTTTGTTAGGACAATGTCAAGTTTAAAATACTTTTATCTTTATTTTATTCCCTTTTCTTTCTGCTTGGAACCAAACTACCAGTTACGAAAAAAATGTTATGAAAAATCTCTATTGTTAGTTTGGAATTGATAAGGAGAATCTGTTACCATTTTTACTGACCTCACAGTTTCATTTTTTTCAGGGGAGATGATAACATAGTCCTTGTTTGCACATTCCTAGGAGGTGTAGATGATACAGTTTTGTCTGCTTTTCGACAACTGAAAGAAGGTCCTTTCAACTAACTATGCCATGACCTCTGCGCCTCTTTCATATGCTGCACCAAGTCATCCTTTCATTCCCTAGAAATGTCTACTTTGAAACGACCCATGTGTTTTGATGTTTCAGAACCTGTAATAATTTATCTTCTAGTTAGATTGTAAACCCCCAAAGGACAGAGGATGTATCTTTACAGTACGTTGTAATCCCAATAATAGCCATGATAGATACTTAGTTTACATTTGTGCGTTTTATTTGACTTGATTCTTATTAAGATTTTAATTTCTTTATTTGTTTTGTTGCTCAGTCTCTTGTGACTCTTTGTTATGTCCAACTCTTTGCGATCCCATGGCCTGCCACACACCAAGCTCCTCTGTCCTTCACTGTCTCTGAGAGTTTGCTTAATTTCATGTCCATTGAGTCGGTGATGCTATCTAACCACTTCATTCTCTGCCATACTCTTCTTTTGCCT